CTGGGAGACAGAAGATGAAGAGGTTAGTGTGGAAACGATGATCAGTGCGCCATTACCTGGGAGACAGGAGATAAAGATGTTAGTGTGGAAACGATGATCAGTGCGCCATTACCTGGGAGACAGGAGATGAAGATGTTAGTGTGGAAACGATGATCAAGGCGCCATTACCTGGCAGACAAAAGATGGATGAGAAACGAAAGTGAAAATGATGCCCAGTAAGTCATTACCAGGAAGACGGGAAGAAGAGCAGTGGGTGATAATTGAAAAATGATAATCACAAAATACCGTGGAGGCAGCAACAGAAAATTGGTTCACCAATTGGCGATGGAACTTAGTCTAGGTAATGATTCTTACTGGAGGAATTCAGCACGTTAAGAGTGACTTGGTGATAATTTAAAACGAATTAAAACGCCGTTTCGTTTTAAAGTCCAATTTGTGGGTTAATGTAGAAACTGAACTGGAAAAAAAATTATAGATGCTCAGAAAATTAACTAGACTTGAAACCAGACGTAAAGAGAACTGAACTACTGAGTGAGAGTCGAGGAGAGTCAGTGAGAGTCAGTGAGAGTCAGTGAGAGTCAGTGAGAGGTGAGTGGAAAGTGAAGTAACCAGACTGAGTGAACAATCTTACATACACTTGAGTGAAGATCGTCTAATAATTTCATACACTTTTCAAATCTTTCAGTCTTACTACGTCAACAACCGTAGAAATCGTTTCAGCAACATAAAAAAGTAACCAAAATGAACTAGGAGATGAGAAATAAATTTATGGTGACGAAAAAATTGAGAAATCTCACTATTAATGATACATACGAATGTAAGATAGAAGGAGTAACTGTTAGAATGAAGATATTTTATATTTTATATATATATTATATATATATATTTTATATATTATATTTTATATATATATATATTATATATAATGTAGTGAGAGAAAAGAGAGAGAGAGAGAGAGAGAGAGGAGAGGAGAGAGAGAGATATATTTAGTGTTTCCCAAGTAGCAAAAAAAATTTAAATTTAACTTCGAGAAACATAAAAGTAAGTCTTTAAAAGAAAAAGGGGAAAAGGATTTAGTATTCCTGGAACACAGGATAAGATTCAGTGGTTCTGGAGAGAAGAGGAGAGGAGAAGAGAGAGAGAGAGAGGAGAGAGAGGAGGGGGAGAGAGAAGAGAGAGAGAGACAGACAGACAGACAGACAGACAGACAGACAGACTTCAGACTTTATAGGATAAATTAGGTGGAGATTCACGGATACTTGTAATATCAGGGTAATCTCCTGTATTTCATCATCTGGATGTTAACTACAACATCTGTCACCCCAACACCTGCCACCACACAGCATCTACTACAACACCTGCCATTACAACATCTCCCACCACAAAACCTGCCACCACAACACCTGCCACCACAACACCTGCCACCACTTGTCAGTAACAACACGCTGACCAGCTGAGTTACACTTAAGCGAGTCTCCCCTTTCCCCCTCCCCCCATCATCTTTTTTCTATATACCTGAAGGACACTCCTCACGAGACTCTTTGATTCCCTCCTCAATCCTTTATTCCATAATCTCTTTTGTCTTTCCATTTTCCTCTTCGTTCATCTTTTAAGCTGAATGTGTTGTGTCTCCTGTAAATGCTACTTTTTTTTTAACCAAGAGTTGTATCAGTCTATTGTTTATCAATTGAGGTTGACAGTTATGTTTAATATAGTTACTATGTTAGGAATGTATGTTTCTTGGGGCAGCTTATTCATCGCTTTGGTAAATGTATTGACTTGCATGAGCACCGTCTGGCCGGCCTTCCCTCACGATAATCTTTGGTGATACCTGGAGAGTGTTCCAGGGGTCAACGCCCCCAGCGGTCCGGTCCATGACCAGGCCTCGAAATACAATTGCGATGGCTGGGAATCGAACTCGGGAAAACTGCCGCGAAGGCAGCTGTGCTTACCACTATACCAAAACTGTTCAACTGCTTCCCAGCATACATAAAGGGTATTACCAATAGACCCCTGGCTGTTTTCAAGAAGGCGCTGGACAGGCATCTAAAGTCAGTAGCTGACAAGCCGGGCTGTGGTTCGTACGTCGGTCTGCGTGTGGCCAGCAGTAACAGCTTGGCTGATCAGACTTTGCTCCACCCCGAGGTCTGGTCGCAGACTGAGCCGCGGGGGCGTTGACCCTCCTTCTTCTTGTTGTTGATTCGCCGGTACTTCCGGCCCGGGTCTTCTCCAGATGGTGACCCTCCGAAACCCTCTCCAGATACACTCCAGGTATACCATGTTATCATGGTAGGTCACCTCCAGTCGACACACCTCGGATAATCCCTTAGGTTCGTGCAACGTGCAGCATGAAAATAAGGGACTTTAAACATTATCACTGTTTATTTAATTCCACGAGTTATCGAAACCAATTGATAATTGTTAATGGCGTTCTCCAAACTCTTTATTAACCTCAAGGTTGTTCATCAGATATTCCTGGCTTGCCACACCCAAGTCAAGTAGGTTAAGTAAGTTTATTTAGGTACAGGCACATATAGGAACAATTATCATACATAAAATATATTACCTAGAATAACCCAAAAAAATGTCAGATAGTGACTTGTTTCGATTGGGACCTTTAATTTCCATTGGGGTTATTTCGTCTAGCTGGTTCTACTCCAGTCTTAAAATACAGTCCCGGACTATTTCTAGACAGTCCAAAGTATCTAGAAAGAGAGTCTACCGACTAAAGTTAAAGTTTGTCTACAGATAAAATCTCGGATTAAAACTTCATTTTCTTATGGAGGTGTCTTAACAATTACGTCCCGATGAGGCTTGCTGAGGCAGGATGTAAATCATACTTGAGGTTTGCTGAGGCAGGATGTAGATCATACTTGAGGCTTGCTGAGGCAGGATGCAGATCATACTTGAGGCTTGCTGAGGCGGATGTAGATCATACTTGAGGCTTGCTGAGGCAGGATGCAGATCATACTTGAGGCTTGCTGAGGCGGGATGTAGATCATACTTGAGGCTTGCTGAGGCGGGATATAGATCATACTTGAGGCTTGCTGAGGCAGGATGCAGATCATACTTGAGGCTTGCTGAGGCGGGATGTAGATCATACTTGAGGCTTGCTGAGGTGGGATATAGATCATACTTGAGGCGAGCCTTCAAAGTTCTGTCAAACACAGTCTTGCCATTCTTTCCCTCTTATAGAACGTTCTGTCCATATATTCAATTTACGAGTCTCCGATAATGAGATTGTCTTACGCTTTTACATGTTGAGACATTCGTGCTCCGTGTCAACAACAGTATACCCACTGAAGAACAAAAACACGACTTCTCTTCTTGAACTCTGGTTCAACCTTTCTCAACCCTGCTTCAACTTTCCTCAACCCTGCTTCATGCTTCCTCATCCCTGGTTCAACGTTCCTCAACCCTGGTTTACCCTTCCTCAACCCTGCTCCAACCTTCTTCAACCCTGCTCCAGCCTTCCTCAACCCTGCTCCAACCTTCTTCAACCCTGCTCCAACCTTCCTCAACCCTGTTCCAACCTTCTTCAACCCTGCTCCAGCCTTCCTCAACCCTGCTCCAACCTTCCTCAACCCTGCTCCAACCTTCTTCAACCCTGCTCCAGCCTTCCTCTATTTCTGCCATCTTCAATTTTTGCAAACCAATTTCCATTCGTTACTTCCAGCTGCCTCACGTTCCACATTACATTTCCCATCCTTCTTATCCATCCTTCTCAAGGTCAAATAAAAAGGAATAATTGCAAAATCGTTTAAAGCCTTATACATAATATTTTTTCACATTATTACTGTAGTGTCATTTGCTTACCAGAGCAATTTTTACCCCCGACACAACACTAGATTTGCGTATTAAATTATTAAATTGCTGGGGAAACGCTAAACCCTCAAGGATCAACACAGACTGTAGAATGGTATTCATAATGTATACACCAGTCAAGAAAGTATTCTTGCCTGGTGGTGTACATGTAAACTGCGGTCTTAATAACCCTCGTGTAGTGACCACTCTTGAAGATCAACTAACCAGCCTTATGACCAGTGTTGTATATGAGGGCCTTGTGATCTTCCCCTAATGTGATTAGCAACATTGACTCTCTCATGTTAATAATCACTGATTTACCAATCTTGAGACGATGAGTTGAAGATTTTCTCATGCTATGTTCTTCGTGTGGTTTGTTGTCACTTTATTTCGCATCCATTACATGGTACTTACCTACACCCAGTTCCTATATCTACGAGTCTCGCCTGGAACATCACTCACTAACACACATGTAAACCACAATAAAAAAAAAACATCGAAACGCTTAAAACGTCTTGGTCCTTCCAGGAACACTTGTCAGCGTGCCAGACATTATGGCTGTACAAGTGTACACAAACCCCCAGTGACTCCCTCCCTGTTGGTAGTTCTCCCGCGCAGCTCCATGGGGTTATTTGGGGGGCCCACTTGGCCAAACCATCCTCTACACCCAAAACTACGGGCCACCCATCACCTCACCCACCACACACACCGCCAACATCACTCCATCACCACACCCCACTTCTCGCCCATCATGCACACCATCACCCCACCTCCAAGTAGCGACCTACATACAACATACCATCCCCAACCACCAACACCCTCCCCCTTACCCCACTCCACTCACCCTCCACCCCAAATACACGAACAAAACCCTCCTCACCACATCCCCACACCATCACACTTAAACTAATCCCACCACTACTCTCACCAAAACAACAACTCCCCACATAATCACCCACACCTAATATCCATACTAAATTCACACCACTCACCCAACACCTACAGCAACTCACAACAATCACACCCCTACACCCTAAACTCAACCAACCACACATCTCCCTTTACACAAACTGTCACCACAACCTCTCACCACCAACCCAAAACTCTCACCCAACAACTAGCACCCTAACCCACATCCTCTCGACCCGACCTCATCTCACTCTACACCACCCTCATACCACTTCAACCTCTAATAT